CTTTTTTTACTGAGTCAAGCAGCAATCAAGTTATGATCTTCACATCATCTGATTCACATTGTACAAAGCACCTGTCAGCTTCTGTTGGCAAAAATGATCTTTCTGTTTCATTGTTTTAAATATTTTGTCCAATGCAAGTAGTTCATAATATATATCCAATCGATTGCAACGATTTTTTGTGAGTCAGAAACGCATTTCGAACTTTGAACTACTAGTCAACAAAAAATTCTGCATCTTGGTGGTGATCACTCAGTTCTCTTACTATTCTAAACGAACATGATAAATCAGACAGTATATCTGAATTTAGTTTTTCTTTAAAATGATTTCAGGAATCCACTGACAGATCGACTAGGGAAACCGAACATTTATTTATCATGCACATCGATGCTAGCCGCTGATTTTATCATATTGTTCTATTAATAACTAAGATGCTTTCAAACTAAATCAACTCAACTTATACAGGGGTACCCAAAATTATAAGACCCCCTACAAGTTTGAGAATAATAAAGTTTTCAGCAACTAAAGAAGCTTTGATAAGAGATCTAATGCCATATATATAGATGCCGCTAAAGCATCTATCATGGGCTATATATTGATCACTATTTGGTTAAATATTAATAATATTTAGATTCAAGAAATTTTGAATTTCACTCGTTGCATAATTATAAGAACCCCCTCTCTGGAGCATAAAAGTATTGCCTTAATGTTCATTTTTTTATGTCAAAAAAAATCTTGTCAGTATCTATTCGAAAGAGGAGATAATTAGTTATCTACTAAAAAAAAATATAGACTTATATAAGCTATACTTTAACTTTTCTATGGTCGAAGAAACTAAAGGGTGGAAAACCTATATCCCACAATAACCCTATTTTAGCTCAAAAAAATGGTTTCCAATTGTTTAATGTAACAAAACTACATTTAAACTATACCATTAGATAGAGCATTAAAAGTTGTATAGTCCACATATTTATTGACAACAAACTTTGAAGACATTAATAATTGAGAAAAGGTAAAATAAAGATAGTCAAAATCAGGTATTTTGTAAGGAACTTATGAAAAAAAAATTTCTTTTCATATAAAAACCAGACGTATTTTTTTTTCAAGGTTACCATAAGAAAGAGCGTCAAATTCTACATCAAATAGATTACTTCTTTTTACGAAAGCTTATCTCTAAACGCCAGGGAACTTAGTCTCAAAAAGGAGACAAATCAATCTCATTATGTCAAAAAATAGCATATGCTAGTGATATCACGAAAGAACATGTTTCAACAATTTTTGAACTAAAATGTTTGAGAAAAAAAATTTTATCGTGTTCAAAATTTGCGCTGTTGCTATTACTGTCTCTCAAATGAACTTTCTTTCTGATGCCCACATCCACACCTACACACCCACACCCACACCCACACCCCACACACCCACCCACACCCACACCCACACCCTGAGCATTATTCATGTCCAGATGTTCTTCAATTGATTGTCAACCGAGAGCGACAATCTGTACCCATGTAAAAAAACAACAGCTAAAAAATCTGATTTAATTTGATTTTTCGGAGAAAATCGGTAAAAATCAATTAAAAGAAGCAATTTTGATTAAATTTGTGTAAAAACTCGATTAAAATCAATTATTTTTAGAAAATTTGAAATAATCGATTATAAATCTAATTGATTTTAATCGATTAATGCTAGTAATCGATTAAAATTGATTTTTTTCAAAAAATCCGAAATAATGGATTAAAAAGCTAACCGATTTTAATCGACCAATGCTAGCAATCAAATTTAATCGATTATTTCTAGAAAATCTCATATAGTGGATTTCAAATAGCATCGATTTTAATCGGTTACTTCGAAGAATGGATTAAAATCGATTACTTTCAAAAAATCCCAAAAAATCCTAAAGGTCTAACCGATCTTAATCGACTGAAAGTAAAAGTCGATTAAAATCAATTGT